CCTCAAAATACAGAGCCAGGGAAAAGTGCATTTTGATTTTTAAACAGAAATCATAGAATCGTAGAATGGCCTAGGCTGGAAGGGACCTTAGAGATCATTTTAATCCAGCCTCCCTGTCGCCAGGGTCACCACATCTCGACTAGAGAAGGCAACACATGGGGACTGAATGGGAATCAAACCCGCGACCTTGGCATTGTTAGTGCCACACTCAACTGACTGAGCTAACCAGCCCCCTAATGCTGCAGTATTATTTTCTTTAAGACTAAAACCAGTAAGAAACTAGATCATTAAGAGACATTTTTGTTTTCCCTGATACGCTATCACACACTAGGCAACTTATTCTTTAAAAATATCAAAGGTTGGAATTATACCAGAAGTAACACTCCTGACGTCCAGAGGAAAGGGAACTACATATAAACCTGTTCTTCCTTTCCTTGTCCCTCAGTTCCAGCTGCCAGATAAGTCATGGAGTAGAGAGCTTCTGAGAACACACCTGTCTAGAGCTACAAAATAAAAACAGATCATCTCAAAACACTTGGTCCTCTCCACACTGACTGCTATGCCATTTATAGCACTTATAACTACACCCTCTCCTCATGGCACAAGTAGGCTTGGCCCAATATTCCTGCTCTGATCCCAAGACAGCATCTCCTCAGGCACAGAACCCCATCAAAGGTCCTCCTGCAGCTTTGGGAAGCAGCTGCTGCTGTCACTGCAACCCCTTCCCCGGGAAGGCAGGCAGCAGCAGGTCTAAGCCACAGCTCTGGATGTGCCATTCAAATTACTACCAGGCTCTGGGTGATTCACACTGAATCCCTTCTCCACCCTGCCATGGAGATATGGAATTCCTTTTCACTGCTTGGCCCTCCTTCCTTCAATGCCAGTTCTTCAAGGATTTGTAACTTAACTGACTCCAGAGGACACCTGCCACGGGAAGGAGTTTACGACCCATCTTTTACCATCCTTCCTTTTTCCCTTGTAATTACCTCCAAATGACAGGTTGTAAAATAGCAATTTCTTACTAGCATAATTAGAGAATTAAACTCATAGGAAGGAGAAAACCTGCTACCTCAGAATTCAGATCGTCCATCAAGTTATCCAGAAACACCACAGCATAAGGGCACTATAATACTCAAACAGAAAGCAAGAGCCTTCCAGAGACATTTGTTATGAGTACAAGCTCCTAAACTTACAAAGGCGCCTTCTTCTGAGCCCGGAGGCATTGATGTAGCCCTGACTATACACAGCTGTAGCACACTTATAGTTGGAAAACTATGTTCATGATAGCTTGTGCCAGACATTGGCTATTCAGGAATTTACATAGGCAAGCTTCCGAAAACGCATTGACAGAAACAGCATTTCTGATTTTAAACAAATTTAAATAAAAATCTCCTAACATAAAGACTTTCAGTAGATTACTCACCTTGATGTATTTAATAAGTTAGCTCCCAAAATGATTTATTCGAACACAAAAATCAGAAGCCTGAAGAAGGGAAGTACATGATAAACTGGGCTAAACGCATTAAAATCAGAAATGCTGTTTCTGTCAAACAAATTTAAATAAAAATCTCCTAACATAAAGACTTTCAGTAGATTACTCACCTTGATGTATTTAATAAGTTAGCTCCCAAAATGATTTATTCGAACACAAAAATCAGAAGCCTGAAGAAGGGAAGTACATGATAAACTGGGCTGAGACCATGAGAAGCACAGGTAAAAATGGATTTTAATTACTTTTTTCCCCTACAGGTCATAAAATCCATTTTCCTTGTTTAAAAGTCTATTCCAGTCCTCACCACAAACTAAGAATAGGCAATTAGATGTAAATGCTATCAAGTGTTTAAGACAGAAAGAAGAGATGGTAAGTTTTTGCTTGCAAATCATCATTCCAGCATTACTTCACGTGGTCACAGTGATCTCTTGTGCTCACACTCACACATAACATCAGTATGAGACTTAACTTTTCACACAGGAGAAACTGAAAGGAAGGGAAAATACCCTGTATGGGCCTTCTGCTAGACATACACAGGGAACTACTTCCCGAGGGAGGAAGGTTTCAAGAAAGCAAAGGCAAACAGATCAGGATGACAAACAAATGCAGATGAGACTACAATTTCATTTGTAGGTCCATTTTTTTTACGGCACGGTTATAGCAGAGCATGGGATTAGTCTACAGCAAAAGTCTAATACTTTGGAGCAACTCACTGAGACCTTGCATATAGACCACTTTTCTCATGTAAGGCAAGCAATGCTTTTGCAATAACGAAGAGGTAAATCAGACTGAATTACAGAGAATTAATTCAAGACATCATTTTTTGATGTCACCAAAACATTTGTGGAATAAGCTTTTCTTCATATAAGTGTGTATGTGTGCCTATACATGCAAAATACAGCCCTCCTAGCTCAGCCATCAGCATGCAAGAAAATGGGGAGCTGACTTATGTCAGACTCCTATCTGGTGAAGAATCAGGTGGAATCTAGAACTTCACAGCGCTGCAGTTGGAAATGGCCAGCTCCTTTCTCCATCACTGCATTATCTTGATCTGGTAGAATTTCTTTAACTCCATTTTTTTTTCTGGATGAAATTGCCTCCTGTGAAATCTACCTGTCAAATACTTCTTATGCTTTCCTGAAGAACCACATCATCTGGCTGATGATCCCACACCATTTTCCAACCCGGCCCTAGGAACCCTTAAGGAGCTTTACCAGGCTACCATTTTATGAAAAAGAGAGTCTGGTACCAATCTCATCACTCTACCAAGCTTAAAAATAGACACTGTGTTATTAACATTTAAATTTGACCCACTCTGATAAAGTTGTTAGGAGCAGTCACTTAGAAGTCCACATTCATCAACTACAGAAAGGTATTTCACGCTTTAAGGAAACACAGTGTCGCTCTTCACCAGGCTTCACTAAACAGACTATTTGCTTCCAATGGTTTCTGCTAGCTTTTTCCTAAGCCCATCGTTTCCACACTTCCTGTCCTGTTCAGAGAGCCAAACAGTTTAGAAGCAAAGGCTATTCATATAATCATAAAGATTGAAAAAGACCTCTAAAATCATCTAGTTCAACTGTCAACCCAACACTACCATGACCACTAAACTATAACACTGACATTCCTATATGACATAGCAAAACACATAAAAACACCCCTGCAAAACTTCTGGGTACTAGTAATTGAAGACTTTTAACTGTAAAGGCATCAGAGCATCATAATCCAGGTATTCAGAGGGCAAGCTACAGGAGATTCCTTAGATAATTAAGAATGGCCCATAATTCTCTAACGGACATAGGAAATTCTACTATCAGAGCTGTGTGGCTCTGCAAGAAAGAAATCAAGTCAGCAGTAAATGAACTAATTTTTTCAACCTTCAGAACAAGTCAAGCCCACTCGAGACACAATTTTATTATTTCTAGCAGTGAATGTTTGGTACATACACAAATGAAATACTTAGGAAAATGGTAAATATCAGCACTTAACGTTGTTTCCTTTCATAAAAAAAAATTAAAACTTCCTGCTTAGGTACTAGTTTCAATCGTTTTAGAAGATAAGTGCTATGCAATTTTTTTAAAGCATACCCAATGTTTTTACTGTAATACACTACACATCTTTGCAGGCACAGAGACCCTTTTCATGGCCTGTTACAACTACCTGAAACAGCAGGTCAGGCATTGCTGAAACTGAAGCACAGTTTCATTTGGCATCTCCAGAGTAATACACAGATTCCCTGGAATAATAACTTGGAGAGTTAGGGGGGAAAAAAAAATAAAAAAATCTTTGCTCTTTGCAACTCTGTTTGCAAGAGCCAGCAGGCCAAAAGATGCTACTCTCAGGACAGCATCTGGTATTAACACTGTAGGTCATAAATTCAGTTCAAACTCCAAAAGAGAATTTAAACCAAGGCATTTGCTAGTAGCTCAAATTTTTAACAGTTCATCTGTTTTCTGCACTATTTCTGCTGCACTTCTTTGAATGCTACACATCTACAGTTGCCATCTATTACAAACTGTAAAGCCTTCCTGTTACAACTAGCTTCAAGCTGCAAACAACGTTAAAATCTTACTCAATAAAGCTCTGATAATGCAGGCCTGCTCTTTTTATGACTAAAATAAAAAAGCTTTTTTCATATCACAAAGCAGCCTGAGACCAAACTGGGTAAGCACCATTGGTGCCAGGCTCTGCACTAACACAAGAAAAGTCTCTGCACTTAAAAGCTGACACCTCTAAATCATTTTAGGCAATGTTCCTAGAAGTCTGGGGCACAGCATTCCACAGACCGAAGGAACTAGAAATTGTGCAGAGGAAAACAAGGGAAGAGAGAAGTCAAGTGAATCCACCATTACACACAAGCTAAACAGCAATCAGAATCCACCTGGGAGAGTTTTCAGGGAAAACACTTCAGTGAACACTGGTTTAAAGCAACAATAAGATTTACAACTGATACTTCTTTTGTGAAATATTGTGCTGAAGCTCTTTAAAGAAATCCGGAAAATCATCCTACATTATAAACAATTACCATTTTTCATAGGATTTTTAATGTGTTGAAGACTTTCTCTACTGTATGGCTCTACATACTCAAGTGTTAAAACTACAGCTTTCCTCATAGGGTGATTAATCAAGCATTTCTTCTTCTTTTCAGGAATAACATCTAGCTGAAATGTAGGGTTTAGACCAAGACTGAAAAATTAACCATTTAATAGATAGCTGGAAAAAATAAATTATGATTTCAGTGAAGCTAAGTATGCTCAGTCTAATTCTAGTAATTCAGAGGATGAAAATGCTGCAAGGAATACCTGCCCCTACCCCTCTGCAGCACGAAAAAAAGTAACGAAGTTGAAGTTCATTTAGGACATGTTAAAGATGAATCATGTTGGTGAGAGAAAAAGTACAAGGACATGAAAGCAAATATAGTTCTGACAAGGAACACACACATGCATGTTCTTATACACCAACTGGTGTATATCAGTAATAATCTATCTGAAAAGCAGTAATGACTAACCTCCACATTTTAGTGAAACTGTGCATCAGGCTCACACAGCAAGGCAGAGCTGGAGGTTTGAGTCCATCCATTTGAAGGAGGAGGGCAGGAACACCATATAGAACCAGGTATTTCACATAAAAAAATAGTACTTGAGCTAAAGCCAGGCCACCTAAAAGAAAAAAAAAAAAAAGAAATTGAAGAAAATCATGCCTTAAACAAATCCTGAAATACTTAAAACCTATTAACAGGTTACTTCGAAACTGCCATTATTCAAAGAACTAAAGCAAGCGTCACAGGCTGACAGGATACACAATACCTACTTTTGCAAGAGCCACAGGACATAAGCACAGGCAATTAGGACTTTAGGTACACACACAAACCAGCACCGATATGAAGGTATAAACAAGCATCTACAATTCCACTTTCAAAAGTCTTCGGACTGTCAGTATTGACTGCTATGAAGAACAAATACTGACTTAAGTTGAGCTAAAAATAGGAATGCACTAACATAAGCAATGCACATTTACCACAGGGACAATAAATTTTACCTTTGGGGGGAAAAAAACACCAAGGAAACAAAAAAGAAGACTTGAATAGCCACTATTCACTTGCTCCTCCAGAACAGGTATAAACAATTTTTATCTTTGCAGCTTATCCTGATAGCTCCACAAACATCCTAAGTACTGTAAAGATTATTTGTGCCCCCAAAACACCATCCCTCCTACTGCAGCTGAGGCATAGAAGACAGACTCCACTTGGCATAATGCTTAAGACATATTTTAGGTTTTGAGCCAACAGGACAAAGGCCTCCTTAAAGTGCTTTAACTGCCTTATTTTCAAAGAAGAAATTTCAGCAGTGTGCTTGCTCACAGCTTAACCCCTGCATGTGGCACAAAACACAGTGTCTTGCACAGGTGAGATGAAAATCATACTGGCTATTCTCAGAGATATTACTCATGTGCTAGAAAAAAATGTCTTAGAACACATTATAAAGCAAGATGATTCATATTACTATTCTAAATGTTTTCTGCTGAACAAAATTGTATTTGAGACCAATAGCTATAAGGAACAAGAAAATGTAAAAAGCACAGGCCAACACTTCTACAGAAACTGGTCAGACCTTACTCCTAAAAATTCCACTGACTTGGGCAAACATTCCATCCGGTTGACAGCTGACAAGAAAAATCTAATCTCAAAGGAAGGAAAGTAAAATTATTGTAAGTTTAAAGAGTAAATATATATATATATATAAAAAATAATTACAATTGTTACATCTTCTATTCCAATGTTTTGCTTTCCCTCATTGATATGAACTAACTTGTTATGTGACTAGAGTTTTTTAGATATTTAATGTAATTTTAAAACTTTCTGGCAGATTTTCCTTGGAGACAAAGCTTTCAACCTGACTCCTGCAGTACAAATCTATCAATGTCTAAATAGTTTGGTTTTGGGGGGCAAAACATCCCTTCTGTATTCTACTGACTGGACTACACTATAGAGGACAACCAAAAGGTATATATTGGATGAGCTCTTAATGTTTAACAACCTAGGGTGAAATTCCGCCACAAATAATGTATATTGCAGAACTTATGCTGGCCTACATATGGCCAATATTTTGCTGCTATAACCCGATGTTCTTACTTTTAATATTAATGATCCACATGCATGATAAACTGTTGTGTCATACAAGATAAAAATTGATGTTAGAACAGAATACCTAGACACGAAGCTTATGGTATTTTCCTTCAGGGAAGCAGTCATCTAGCATTCAGTAATATTCTTCCCCAGAGGCAAACAAACAATCAGAAGCACAATTTGGATACTAGCCAATTAGCTACACATTAGATTACTGCTAAATCATCTATACAGCCAACTTTCTGCTTTAATTCCCATCTCATTCAGTTTCTCATTTCTTTTCTGACAAATTTCATTGGAGAGCTAAATGCTGACACCCACACAAACCAATTACGAAGATTACAGCTGTCTATGCACTGGTAAAATTCAAAATCCTTTGGCTGTGCATGATGGAAAGAGATTCAGAGAAACAGACTACCACTCTCGAGAGCCAAAAATCAATACATTTGATTTTAAACACAACAATGAAAGATTCGGGAGTTCTCAAAGTTATAATAAGCAAGTTGCAGGGGGGAGAAAAAAGGGATTTTCTCCATCTCTAATGACATACATCTAAGTTATCATTACTGTTAATTAGCAGGCAGCTCAATAGCACTGGTATCTTAAATGCAGACATCGCACCACTGATCGTTGCCTGGCACACACCAGTTACGCTGCACATGGCAGTTCTAAGACTCCCAATATCAGCAATGTGAAGGTCCCTCTCAAAGTCCATAGATGAAGTCCTCATTTGTCTTCATCCCAGCTGTGTGAGAGTTCTGGCTACACACAGAAAACCGAGAGCAAGAGTCGGAGCCACCCAAGAGCTGGGCCACAGCAGCAACAGGCAAAGGCTTCGAAACCTTCTTGCACACCCGAGACATTCCAGCTGCGCTCCATTCGCTCCATTACGGCGCAGAGCAGGCAGAAGTGCACTGCTTGACCTGATTTAAAACCAGGAAATAAAGAAATGCGAGATCGATGCTAAATTTCTCAAATTCATTAACAATATCACGCAGTTTGTGCTCTACTGTTCAATTTAAGGCTTAGAACAGTTGAACGCAAGCATTACCTTCAATTGGAAACAAGCTACATCAAGTCTATATTAAAAACACACCTAAGGGAAAAAGTATTGCAAAAATGCCAGCCTTTCCTCAGAATAAATTCAAAGAACTTAGAGTCGAGGTTCACTTTTTAAAAACTGAAATGCGTTATGCGATAAAAAAAAATCAGCTTAAAGTACCCATACTATTTTAAACCTACGCACTTAAACAGTCAAGATGTTTGAAGTCTCAGAGTAAATTAACTGACTTTTGTAGAAATCAATATTTTCGATTTATCATTTTGCAACTCTTAAAACATTCTAAGCTTTCCAATGCTTTATAAATGCATTTATAGATCTCTAAATATTTTTCTTCCTTAAATATACTACAAAAATGCGTTTTTTAAGTCTCAGTTTTGCTCCAATGATAATTACAATTTAGAATACTCACAGAACTTTTAAAAATTTTTTTAGTTTTCATATTCTCAAATCTCTGATTTTTTTTACAGAAGTTATCTAACAAAACATTTTCATAATTAAACAATGAATTATTTGGATCCAGGTGTTAGAAATCACGCTTGGCATTTATCTGTCCAACATGGTCAAGAACTGTAACTTCGCAGGCAATTTTATTTGAAGCACAACAGCACAAATTTACCCTTTTTGCAGCTGCACTGACCCTATGGCATTAATGATCATAGATGCTTGTTTCTTCCAGGTACCAAGGCAGGTTCAACTATAAAACACATATCAAAGATAAATATGCAGCCATATATCAAAAGCATTACTAATACACAAATCTAATAGGAAAGACATTTAAAAGAGCTCAGAATATGGGGCAATATCAATTTTAAAATATCAGACTTTAGGGGTTCACTTATGCCTTTCTCTTATTTTTCACATGCGTCTTCTACAAAAGAAAATTTAAAAGCTCCATGAAGGAATATGGCTGTGCACTGGAGCACATATGCTACAGATGTACCTCAGCAATAATGAAATCACATGTGCATTAAGAAAAGTGTGTCCAGCAGGTTTAGGGAGGTTCTCCTCCCCTTCTGCTCTGCCCTGGTGAGACCACATCTGGGATACTGTGCCCAGTTTTAGGCTCCTCAATTCAAGAGAGACAGGGACTTCCTGGAGAGAGTCCAACGGAGAGCTGCGGGGATGATTGAGGGACTTGAACATCTCTCCTGTGAAAAAAGACTGAGAGAACTGGGGCTGTTCAGTCTTGAAAGGAGACGGATGAGAGGGGACCTTATTAACGTATATAAATATCTGAGGGGTGGGTGTCAAGGGGAAGGAGACAATCTCTTCTCAGTGGTGCCCAGTAATAGAACAAGGAATAATGGGTTTAAGTTAGAACACAGGAAGTTCTACCTCAACATGAGGAGAAACTTCTTTACTGTGAGAGGGCCAGAGCACTGGCACAGGCTGCCCAGAGAGGTTGTGGAGTCTCCTTCTCTGGAGACTTTCAAACCCCACCTGGATGCGTTCCTGTGTGGCTGCCCTAGGGAATCCTGCTCTGGCAGGGGGGTTGGACTAGATGATCTCTAGAGGTCCCTTCCAACCCCAAACATTCTGTGATTCTATGATAATACCAATAATTATAAGATGTATCGGGCATTTCCAGCTCCATTAATCAATCAATAAGAACACAATTATTGACAAGCTTTACAGATCTTTTTTATTTCACAGCAGGACACTCTTCCCTGTCAAGAGCCACAAGACCGGATCTACTGTGACTTTCCTAGTTTGATATTGACCACTGCAGGAGGCTACACATCATGCTGCCAGAAGCTTTCATATGAACACGTAACTATGACAGCACTAAGTCAACTCGGCACAAGCAGCCAGGTAAGCAGAGCAGTGCCAGCAATCCCACATTTATCCTGCTGTGCTGACCTGGCCCCCATGAGGGTTAAGTGTCCCCTAGTACCTCCTACACTGACCTGAAGTAATGCAAAAGGGGCAACTGGGTTCTGTTATTCCTGTCTCTAGCACGATGAAAAAGAGCATCATGCAAGAAACATGGAAGCACCCTAATTTCTTTACTTGAACAGAAAACAATGCAATTAATAGGCTCACACTGCTCAGCAGGGTTTTTCACTGCTGCTTGGCAGTGGTTTGAAAGAGATGTTGACTCACAAAATCAAAAGGAATGATGAAAGAAAGAAGTACTACAGGGACTCACGCAGCCTAGCATATCCCAGCTTTCCAGTGGCACACAGGAAGCAAGAAAATCCAAAAATATAAGAGAGATGGCAGGAAAATAGGTACCTCAGTGTTTGCCCTGGAGGCTTAGTGCTTCTTTGCAGTCAAGGTTAAATGAACATAAAGGTACCAAAGTGAAGTTACTTAAACAAGACTAAACAGATTTTCCAGGGGACTCTTGACCAAGGCATAGACAGGTCTTCCAGGTTAAAGTAAAACAGAAGTCTTTTCATGGATACACATGCCTTAAAGCCACCTACCCTCAGTACTCCCAGAACACCTACAGTAGGCATTATGCTCATTAGTAAATACTTGCACATGGTGCTGGTTTTGACTGGGATAAAGCTAATTTTCTTCATAGGGGCTAGTACAGGGCTATGTTTGGGGTTTGTGCTGAAAACAGTGTTGATAATACAAGGATGTTTTAAGCTATTGCTGTGCGGTGCTTACACAGTGTTGAAGCCTTTTCTGCTCCTCACTCTGCCCTGCCAGCAAGTCAACTGGGGGTGCACAAGCAGCTGGGAGGGGACACAGCTAGGACAACTGACCCCAGCTGATCAACAAGATATTCCACACCATGTAACACCATGCTCAGCATATAAAGCCGGGGGAAGAAGGAAGGGGAGGGACACTCAGAGTGATGGCATTTGTCTTCTCAAGTCACTGTTAGGCGTGATGAAGCCCTGCTCTCCTGGAGATGGCTGGACACCTGCCTGCCCATGGGAAGTGGTGAATTGACTCCTTGGTTTGCTTCACTTGCTTGGCTTTTGCTATGCCTATGAAATTGCCTTTACTTCAACCCATGAGCCTTCTCACTTTTGCCCTTCCAATTTTCTCCACCATCCCACCTAGGGAGTGAGGAAGCAGTTATATGGTACTCAGTTGCCAGTCAGGCTTAAGCCACAACACAAGTAAAAGAAGTCACAAAAGTAGGAAAGCTTATTAAAAATTTTTAGTTTTACACACATTTCTTCCTACAAAGCAATGAACTACCCAGCATTTTAGAGAAAACATTACTAAGCTTTCTGATTCATTTTTGTTTCCAGTTCTCAAAACAAGTATCAGGAGGTCAAATATTTTATCAGATTCTCCATATCATTATGTTGCAGGATGAAAAAAAAAAATCTGATCTGATTACTCTGTTAGTATTTCATTACCATTTAGACATATACAGACACCTTAATTTCAATAGCAAAACACCGCATGCTCCTTAAAATGAATTCAGAAATCAATTTTCTATCTATGGGTTTATTAGGACAGGAAATGCAACATATCAAAACTACCACCCTACATTCAACTTAAACAGACTACTCTGTAGGTGTCACTTTCAAAGAGGCACTTACACAACATTTCTTCTTTTAACAAATCAAGAGATGGAATCAGCAACTGCAGATTAAACCAAGCAGCTCCACCTTTGAACAGACTATATTCTAGTTTGACTTATGTGCTCATATGAATACAAATTCCCTCCAGAGTACTGGAGCCTAGTTAATAAATTAAAACAAGGATAGTTGATTGACATCAGCTTGGACATGTTGCACTAAACAAATGGCATATGCTTAAGGCCAATACATTAAACCCACAGAATGCTCACAACATTGTATTTTAAATGCACAAATCTCAGATGTACATCTCTACATCAAACACACACCTCTGACAAATCAAAAGTTCAGATATACATATTCCAAGTCAAATGCATTTTCACAGTTACAATATCTATTAGTATTTTGAATTAATCCACTGCAACTATTAGACAATACATTTCCACGCAGAATTCTGGCTTTTGTCATTCCCTATACCTTGTGAGACTGGCATGAAGCTCTTGTTTAGATAAGCAGAGATAAGTAAATGGTGCTGAATCACCAGGCTAGATGTGAAGTATCATAAGGAAAATATAGGGAGCACTTTTTAAACTTTGCATTTTCAGAATCAGGCAACACAAATTAGCAACACTTAACAGCCACTAATTTCTATAAAACAGAACCAGAGTGGATTTTTACCACTGATATGCCATGTTGTCATAATGAAGGAAAAAAAAAAAAAAAAATCACTTAAGATCTTTAGATTGGTGCTGTTACTATGCATGTCAGTGAATTAGTTACTCAGCTACAGAAGCTCAAAGAGCTTATGTTAAAAAGGATCACCAATCTACGTGCCCTTTATTTTTCATTTCTTTTCTCAATCTTCCAAACGTTACTCACTAGAGCAGAGAAACCTTCGATCTGTGACAATTCTTCTGGCATGCTGCACTTGACCAGGATTCACTGGATTCCACAGTGGCTTTGTAATCTGTGCCTGCAAATCTTCGTTTTACAGAGGAAATTATAAAGGCGGCAAATTAACCCAAATTAGCTTTAAAAACTGAGAAGAATTAATTATTGGGGTTTCCAGTACCATGGAATATGGGTCTTCCTGCTGCATCATTAATTCTGAAAGCATCTGACTCTTTCAGTCAGACTGATGCTACCAGAATAAGACGAAGTCCTGACACAGAAACATGGACTTGCTACGAACACTGCATTCAGTGGTCAAGGTTAAATAAGCACAAATGCCCCAATACTGTTCAATATGCCAATAGCAAATTTATCATAGACACATTTGTGACAGGCATTCATAGACACATTCGTGAATTCTAGAAGGTGTTCCCATTCTCCAA